ACAAAATAAGCTGTTTTCATTTGACATTTTATAAGTTAACATAATGGAAAGTGTTAAAAATCTAGTTTTATTCGGCATTATAAAATCGTGGCAAAGAAAAAGAACGATTATTATTAATCAGCTTTTAAATACTGATGCGATTATTTGGAATTTGAGCGGAACAGCTGATCTCCAATTCGCTTTGAGTGAGAGCGGTGTTTATACACTCTTTCCAACTATCTGGAGAAATAAACTACCGATTTGAAATGGAGTGTGAGCCAAAACACTTCGATCTTTCAAAGCGAATTGAAATTCAGTTTATACATATGTTTTGAATCGCGGCGAAATGAATTAAAGCGACTTATGCATGCGTATAAACGTAGTATGAGTTTCTTTAATTTAAGCTACGGTCCCTGGACAGATGACCTAACAACCGTTATGTATAGACGGGCTGGCTTATATAGCTGCGGATATGTAGTGTGCATATCTTCCCATTCATCTAATGGGTTGTTTTTCAAACAAGATGCTGAAGCATAATAAGTTTTGCGCTTCCGATACCAGTACTTTTTTTTCGATACCTACTTGGATCGCAGTAAAAAGTATTGAGTACAAAAATACTTGGTAAATTGTGAAAAGTATCGAGTATGTACTTGGATTTAATTGTATCGATTTATCCCTAGCAAAAGGTTTCAAAAACCCTAATGTAGCCAAGAAGATTGTAGTACATTTTAAGAAAAATCCAAATATATCGGTAAGAAAATTAGCGGAAAAAGTACAATTCTCTCAGGCTTTCGATTGAAAAGTTAAAAAGGACTTTAGTATAATCTTAGAGTCATACAAGTTCCAGAAAGTTCGAGATAAAAATTCAAAAAAAGAACATTGAAGCAAAGGAGCGAGCCAAACGACTTCACCGTGATTTCATATAAAATTTTGATTGCTGCATTAAGGATGATGAAACATACATATGTATGTACATACTTGGCGACGTTTCGCAGCTTCCGGGTGCCGATTTTTATCTCGCAACCCGTAGAGAATATGTCCAAGAGGAGTACAAAAGACAAAGTTTCTTACGAAATTTTTGGTATGACAGGCAATATGTATGTAGCTGTGGTAAGCGTAGCAGTTCGTTTGTTACAACTGGGACGATTAACACGGAATTATATATCCAGGAGTGCTTACGAAAACGCCTTTTACCATTTAAAAGGCAGCATGAAATTTCCAAAAATTTTTTGCCCGATTTGGCTTCATGCAAAAAATGGATAGAATGCAAAAAATCGCATAGCATTTGTACTCAGACATGCGAATATATCGAACCTCCCAGAGCTCAGGCCCATTGAATGGGCTCTGTTAAAAAGGGTTATGGGGCATAAAACAGGTTGCTAAAACAAGTTAAAAAAAAAGTGATAATTTCCAACAAAAAAAAAAATACTGAATACAGCATAAAAATCCAAGTTTTAGAAATTTAGGAAAAAGTATTTTTTTTTTTTTTATAAAAAACACTAGTGAGCAAATTATTTGTAATAAATGTAAACACTTGTTAGATTTCTGTTAATAAAATGTGTTCTTGTTTAAATTCATCTAGTACTCTGAAAGTAATTAATAATGCGCCATGAGTAGAGGTTTATGTTTTTTTTTTTTATTTATTTCAAAGGTCTTATACTTTAAAAAATTTCTTTCTGGCCCAATACAGCATTTGGCGAAAATCGTTATTTTCTTGTATTTTGAATACACTTCGTTCCAATTGCTTTCATCATCATATAAATCAGCTGGTACAGCTTTTTGCCAATAAATATCTAAAATGAAAAAATTACTTTTGACAACCGCAATTTCCCTCACATATCACATCATCATAGCGTGGGCTATTGTATCATCTCCAACATCACATCGGGAACAGCTAAAAGGTGCGGCAGCATTTTGATAAAAATATTTTATTTATACTTGCAATTTATCACTAAAATATATTTGAAAAATTAAAAATGTCTAACGAAATTGCTGCAGCGCAAAGTGTGAGATTTTGCCTATCTAGTACGTCAAAATTCAATTTTAACCAAAGCTTTAAAGATATCAGCCGAAAATTTGGCGTGATTTTTAAGAAGAAAATAAACTTCAATATGATTATGAATAACTAGTTCCAACTAGTGTCAAAGGGGACTAGTTCCGAACCTGAAACCTAAACCTAACCTAACCTAAAGACCAGTTGGAGACAGTTTTTTCCGGAGTAAAACCAAACAATTTTTGCGACATATATTAAGCAAATTTGAAGGAAATTTCATGACGATTTTGAAAAAAAAAAAATTTTAATATAAACCCTTTTTTACAAAAATAGCCGCCAAAGTAAAAAAGGGTCAAAATCTCTAAAAATTTTGACTTCATAATGCCCAGATATCCCTAATAACTAAAAAACCACCCCAAAATATTTTTTTTATAAAAAGCTTATGCAATTAACTAAAAAAACTCCATAGGTAGTTTTGCATTAGGGTTTTTCGTTTAGGCGTGAGAATTTTTTTTCTAGAAATACTGTCAATCACTTTCTTAACCCCATAACTCCCCAGGGTTGCATTTTAGATCCCACCTCCCATACAATTTTTTGTTCGTCTAGACCTCCCCTATCACTTCCCAAAAGAAAGGCACTTATCACTTGGGACACCCTGTATAGATTGAGTGAGTTCGAAACTAGTCCCCTTTCCATAGCCATGTTGAAGCCTATGTTTTTCTTAGCATGCACGCCATGTTGATGTATCTTTAATTATGATTTTTCACTTTTACCTCACTCAAGCAAATTTCATAGAGCTCCTCCTGCAATATATGTATCACTTAACTTGACTTTGGGCAAAAAATGGGCCAGATTTTATTTTCTAAGTCGGTTCTATGAGTATGTATTTATGTACGCTCATCCTGTATGCTTTGTCATAGTCGAACTACGCCGAACTTGTCATAGTCTATGAAAGATTCAAGATTTTTAAAATTTGTCTTACCTTTTAGCTGATTATAAAATAATTTGATTTTAAGATACTTAAGTGCAAATATAAGGGTCGTGTGCAGCTAAAATTTTTAGTGAAAGTGTTGACTTTTAATATGAAAAAACTGTTTGGCAAAAAAAAACCGCACAACTTCAATTTGATAACTCAAAGTTCTGTTATCGATGCACGCTTGCAAATTTGTTTTTGCATGCTGTTCAATAGCGCGTGTTTGATAGCCGTTATCAAGCCAATGACATTTCTTTTATGCTTATTTTCGTAACAATTGCCGTATTTTCTAACAAATTACGAAATATAATTGATTTTCAAGCAATTTTTTTCATTTTGACCTTCTAGATTGACCAAATCTCACACTGTGCAGCAGCTTCTTAGCTATACAGTTTTTATTATTTTAAATAAATTAAATAATACCAACTTGTATTTTATTTTAGGTAAAGTTAAGCTGTTGACATAATATTTATATGTCTAACTCAACACTTGTGTTTTTTTTTAGTTTTTTGCAAATTTGAAAGCGTACGCTGGGGAATTCGCTGACCTTCAAATTTGAAAACACTGCCGGTGCATTTTCCGCAACCAAAACATTTAAATTAATTTTTGTTTTAAAATACAAATGGACCCACTGAAAATATTAAGAAATGGATTTCGCAAATTAAATTAATTTAAATTCGAAATAGATTTTTTTTTTTAAAATGCAATGTTCAATTTTGCTAACATGCTGAAGTGTCTAGCCTTTGATGTATTAAATGTGCATAAGTATATTTATTGTATTGCATGTTCATATATTTAAAATAATATTTTTTGGCGAGTGTTGTATGTATGTGTGCAGCATGTTTGAATTGTTCTTAACTGTTGTGTACAGACAGAGAGCTTCTTAAATGCAGCTTTTTATGTGATCTTACAACGCACATTCACGCACTTTTCCCACTTGGCAAAATAAATTTTGTTAACGTATCTCCAGCAGCCTTCTGTGCCATTGACTGCATAGCACGTGCCTAAAAGTATACTACATATTTGAATAAAACTAAATGGCGCGTTTACTTGCGGCGCTGCCATATCGACACTGTTCACTTATACATACATAACCTGCAGTGAAAACCCAAACCAGTTAGAAAAAATACTAGTTCATAAACTAGTATGTGCCTACCAGTTCGAAATTTTCGAAGAACTTAAGAGTTCAGCGACATCTGCCTTTGAATTGCCAAAGCCTAAAATAAAACCCAATTAATTGCTTATCTTACAAATGTCGGCTGTGGCGTCACGTGAAGACTCCAGGTTCTGGTTCTGGGATCGCAGGTTCGAGGCCGCTTCGAGGTGGGTAAGATTTTTAAAGTTGGATCAATGTAAGTAGGTATAATTATTTCAATTTAAATATAAATAAAAAACTTAAAAATCTAGTTGCATTACAAAAAAAAACGAAGCAAATATATGGGAAGAAATACTTGTGTCATAAAAAAAGAGATTAAAAAAATATTTTTATTTTAATTAAATAAATAAATAAAAGAAATATTATAAAAAAAAAAATAAAAATACAAAAATTTTCCCTGCGCCCGATATGATGCTACTAGTATTTCTACTAGTAGAGGCTGATGCATAGCCTGACAATTGACATCTCGTAGGACATCGCAATGTTAAAAATACCAGTCGCTAACATTGAAAAGGATAGAACGTGAACTAGTTGGGCTGAAACGCAAACTGGTAGAATTCTAGTTCACAACTAGTAGCTTTCCCTGCAGGGTAGTTACATACATATCGTCACCTGAAATTCAAAAAGTCGTAACTAATAAAAAATTAAAAATTCACTTTTTGATTTATATGATGAATTTCATCATCAGTTTATGAAAAAAAAAAAAAATATTAGTTACGACTTTTCCATTTCATTTACGATGGTGTTACGGCCTTTTGCATTTTAGTTGACGAATATGTATTAACAAACACTTCGCTTCTCACAAATAAATTTATTCATTCGCCTTTTATACAAGTTCTACAAATACAAAAAATACTAAAGTCATCGACTGTTATCACGTTTTTTTGTTTTATTTTCAGCATAAATTTTGAAACTATTTGATATTTTTGTAAATCCATGGCAGCAAAGAAGTTATTCTCGTATAAACGCCCGGATATTCGCCTTTGCCGCAGCCAATACCCCAGGACACAATGCCCACCTGCGTATATCGTCCGCCATCATTAACGATCAATGGACCGCCGGAGTCGCCCTGTAAAAAGGTAAGTGTGAAAGTTTATCAATGTATTACATATTTTATAAATACATTTTTTTTAAATGATACATATACATAAGGTTTTTATAAAAAAAATAGGCGTAGTAGTAGGAAAAAGTACAGTAACTCATCACAAATGTTTGCCATTGCTCTTACACTGCACGAATCCTTAGACGCCTGCCCGGCGCACACCATCGATTCGATAATTCCACCCGGCGCCGCACGTCCGTATTTACGCGCACAATCGTGATTTGCCCAAATCGGTATCTGTACCTTCTGCAAAATTGACGGCTGAGGACCATTCTCGCGCAAACTACCCCAGCCCGCTACAGTCCCCACCTTACCGCTGTAGCTGCGGCCAAGCTGACTGCTCGTACTGGGCAAGCAAATCGGTTGTACTTCGTAAGTGAATTTCATAGGTTCGTTTACAGTCAATATGGCTATATCGTTGTGCTGAAAAGAAGTTTGAAATAAATGGTTGAAGTGAAATAATATTCGCCACCTTTGCCCATTTCTTTACTCACCAGCGTGCTAAAGTCAAAGCCTTTGTGTCGCACCAAACGTTTAATACGTCGCACGACATGTTGCACCTCGTAGTTGGTGCGTATATCGTAATCACCAAGATGCGCGGTGAGCGCTGCCACATCCCACGAAGTCATTCTGTAAAACAGTCCAAAAATTAATATCACTTATTGCACTCAAATAATATTTCTTTCAACTTATTCACCTGGCCACACAATGCGCCGCTGTCAAGATGTGATTTTTCGTGATCACGCTTCCACCGCAGAATTGTTTGCCCGACTTGAAGAGCACCGCAATCCAAGGGAACTCATTTGGGCTCGCGTTTGTGCCGCCCACAATGCGCTCCTGATCCGGCGCAGCAGGGTTTTTAATGCCACATTGCGTGGGTAAACCATTGTTAGAGGCACCACTTGAAATAGGCGTTGTGGGCGAAGTTGGACGACGTGTTGTTGTTGGCGCTGCGGTTGGCCGGTATGTCGGATAGCTGGGATATCCAGGGTATGCAGGATACGAGGGGTAACTGGGATAACTTGGACGACGTGATGTAGTGGTGGTCGGTCGTGGCGTCGTAGTAGTTAGCCTCGTAGTGGTGCGACGTGTGGTTGCTTGCGTCGTCGGGCGTGTAGTTACCGAAGAATGCGTGGGGTAATGGTGATTGGGTGGATGTGTTGGTAATGGTGGCGGCCACACACCTGTTGTGGGCGGATGTGTCGGTAATGGTGGTGGCCATTGGTGTACACCTGAGAATTGGTTACCAAACTGGCCTGGCCATTGATAAGCAAATTCATTGTAGGTTGTCGCTGGCGCCCGCGTAGCGCTTTCAGGTTTCTCCTCCCCATCTTCCTTGATGGGATCGTAAACAACATTATTTTCAGCCTGAAACTCTGGCTTACCACCACCAGTTGAGGGCACGTGTAGTGGATCAACTAGCGGATCGATTTCCGTTGGGTGATCTAGCTCTATAATATCTTCTTCATCTTTTTCCTCTTCCAACTCCTCCTCCTCTCCTACTTGTGGGATTTCTTGCGTTGGCGCTGTTGGTACAGTCGGTGGTGTAAGTAAAGGATTTACGCCACCGGGATAGATGAAAGGTGGAAGCATTCCAGCGCCTCCCATGCCATTGCCCATAAATGTGTTTGTACAGCAAATACCAGTGTTTGGATGCCCAAATTGATCGTAGAAGCTGCATATTTCCTGTCCTACGCTCGGCACTTGTGGCCACTGACGCAGTGCGAAAAAATTGATTTGCCTATTGTAGCGAAAAAGTGGCTGACAGGCTGTGAAGCGCACACAGATGCCGGAGTAACCGCGGGAAGATATGCATTTACTGCCTTCTGCGCCGAAATTGGTGAGCATTAAAAGGGAGGGGTCGTAGAACAGTTGCCGGCGAGGACGTGATTGATCCGGTGGCGAGTGGGTTTCTAAAACGGCGGTTTCCTCGGGAGCTGGAAAGAAAAATTTAAATATAAATAGCTAATATTTTTTCATAGAAAAATAACAAGTTTATTAAAAGCTGATGTCATAATAGTGCTTATCATCACTCAAAGCTGGTGGCATTTAGTGACCCAATTTTCTCTCTGTCGCACGCTCATAAAAGAAGATTGGCTCTTAAAAGTCAATTGCAATAGCTTGCTTCCAAATTAATTAGGTGAACCACTATTTATGGCAGTGATATGACCATAAAGGATGCACATACATACTTGAAAGTAAGAGATCCAATCTCTGATTTCAAGCAGCTACATACTTCAGAAGTTTCTAGCCGCGCATTTAATGAGTCTTCCGTGAGCTGGACTAACGAAAGGTACCAATTATTTAGAAACGTAAATTGCATTCGCCTTTCATGGAATAGAATTTTCAAGGTTTGCAAACTTTTTACTTGTATGCCCCATAAAAGGAATTAGTCTCAAGCGTTATTGCTTCATATGGCCTTATTCAGAAAAAATAAAGTAGCTTTAAAAAAGGTTTATAAACTCGAAAATATATGAAAACGTCATATTATAAAGCTCTTTAAACCTACTTTATTTTTTATGAATAAGGGCAATAGTCTGTAAGGAGTTATTGCTTATACATGTAACAAACTTGTAACAGGCCGATTAGACAAACAAATTTAACTTTTAAAATAGGTGGCATCCCTTCTTAAAACCACAAAAATAGTGTGGATGTTAAAACCAACTCAGTTTTGCTTGACTCCCATATTTTAATATTTCACATACCTAACTTCTGCATTATTTAATTCCGTTCGATATTCCAATCAGGTGGCAACCACCTTTAAAATATTTCCAAGCTAAAAACTCCTTAAACTTCTCTCGCCCGACAGCCATACTTTAATCAATATTTCATTTATTTAGTTTCCTCAGTTGAAATTGAAAATTTGATTTTTAAACCCTCTTACATGTAGCTAATAAATAAATCATTTTCAAAACTATTTCAATTGATACCCTTATTGTACTAACTGAGTTAACTTTTTAAATAATTTGGAATTTAATTTTTAAAAGGATGGCAACTCTTTTCGAAAAAGTTAATCTTTAATATTTAACCTCTCATTTTTATGAACTTTTTTTCTGAAATAGTTTATAAGTTTATTTAGAAAGTTCGCATCTTCTTTTAACGCTTAAGTATAACAATCAGCTGATTCATTAGCCAAGTTGAATGAACTCAAATGTACTCATTTAACAAAATTCAACAATTGCAGTATACACAACTTTTTATTGTTTTCAAATTTAAACAGCAAAATTTCAAGAAGTGCTCAGGTTGAGGAGATCAAACGAAAATGAAATATGTATATTCCTTCCAAAAATTGTCTACAGCTATTACCACTTTTGTTTGTATAGATTACACAGTATTGACAATTTACGTAGTATACCTACTTATTAAATGGTCCGTCCACATGCGTGCTATGCTGAATGCCAATTGCCACTTGTGCTGTCAGCAGAATTCGTACGAGTATCTCACTGTCAAGTTTCTTCACCTCACTCTTATTTTTTTCCGGCAATTCGTTCGAATTGTACAGTACAAATATGCGCACGCGTCACCGATATTTCATGTGTTGTATTAGATTTGCTATTATCTTTCTTTTAGTTTATTTTTATTTTATTTTTTATTTTTTGAGATTTTCTATTCTGCTAGCAATTCTACTTTTTCTCTTACTTTATTGCCAAACAGATCAAACTTTCAATTAAAGTAGCCATTATATTCAGCCTGCATCTCTGGCTTACCACGAGTCGAAGGCACGTGTAGCTTATTTCTCAAATTATTTGACAGCTACATACATATTTAATTTATGAACAAAATTCGCCATTTAGATTAGATTTTATTGTCGTATTTTGCTTTTACTATTACTTAAGTTTTTATGAGCTGCCGCCAACAATAAGTTGATTAAGGGTTGCAATTTAATTGACAAAATGTATGCACACATAGTGCACATAAAAAGTGCTTTGAAAAGGTGCTTCCCAAGCTTCGATTCATTGACGAATTGTGGCTTTTTTATACCTTCTTGCCTTGGCATTTTTTTTTTTAATACTTTTCACTCGTTTACAGTTATGTACGTACGTACACATTTACATCATATATTGACGGTCGCTGTGGCTGGGTGGTTAGATTTGCATACAAACACTACGTACGTAATTCATTGAAATGAATGAAGTTTGAATTTAACTTTTTAAAGTGTTGGCAACCTTTTTAAACCTCTTTCGTCTGATACATACATATGTATGTATTCAAATTAACTAATTACTATAATTAAAGTTGAATTTGAATTTTCAAACATGTGGAAACCCTGCTATACATATGTATGTAGCTTAGAAATAAAGCCTTTGCAAGACTCCTTCGATTAATACCTATATTGCAATAACTCGTTTTACTTATAATATAATTGTTTTTGAGTTTAATTTAAAAACAGCTGGCAACTAGATACCTCAGAAATTTCTACATTTTTATGCTGAACATTTCTAAACAGTCTTACGTTTGACACTTTAACTTGAGTATTGTAAATTTAAATTCAACTTTTAACAGAGGTGGCAATCCTCTTCAAAATATTTTCCAACTAAAACATTATTAAAGCCATTTCGTCTGACATCCATATTGTGATACATATTCCATTTACCTCATTCCCTTAATTCAAGTAGCATTGATTTTTAGAAACAGGTGGCAACCCTCCTACTTGTTTAGAACTGAAGCCCTTTTTCTGAAAACATTTCGATTTATACCAATATTGTAGTAGTTTATTTGAATTAATTGTATTTAATTTTTAAACACCTCAATAATATTCTAAATGTTCAATCTGAAGCCGCCTTCCTCTTCCTCTTACTTTCCGAGCTGTAGCGTTTCTGTCCATTCTATTAGGCATAAATGTGTTACTTAATTAGTTCATTGTCCTTAATTCTCTTTCTATATATACTACGAGTCAAGAGCGCTAAGCTCATTTATCATAAATATTTACTTAAGTCGCACGTGCGATGCCTTAATAAATATATGAATATGTTCGCACGTAGCTTTGACTGTACTCTCTCTAAAAAAAAAAAAAAAAACTTTATTTATTTTGTGTTAAGGCAGTACAAATTTTTTTGAAATGTCAACCAAAAAATGTCAGTCCTATGTAATTATGTATTACAAAAAGTCCCATTAGCATGCAAAGCCTTTATTCAACTCCTCGTCTGTCTGCTGCATAATGATAATTGCAATCACGTTTAGAGGGATCACGTACTCAAAAATTTGAGTTTCATCAAGTGATTGGCTGTCTACTGTAGAGAAGACACTCCATTGCTAGATGAGTATTAAACTAATTGCTTGAAGAAGGCACGCTGAGTCTCATACTCTGCCCGCGTTCAAAGTACTTATATTCTAACAAAATCTTTATACTCAGCATAATTTGTCTTTTTTTTTGCTGGCATTATATAGTATATAGATATTATTTTATTGCTTGCGAAGCTATTGAAAACGCTTTCGACCTCTGCCATTGGCATGTACAATATGTGGTCAATTAATTAAGAACTATACTCAGATGTCTGTATTTTTAAGTTAATCCGATTTTTTGAATTTTAATATTTTTTTATATAAGTATAGTTAATTCAATAAAATAAACCATTTAAATCAAAGCTTCACACTTTGTGCAAACAACCACAAATTTCCAAAGATTTTCATTAAAAATTTAGTTTGATAGTCGCTTTTTTGGATGAAACTTTCAACTTGAAAGGGTTTCGCATTTTCTTCCATACAAAGTATGCTCAGCATAATTTGGTCTCATACCTAAACCAAGATAGTGTCAGTGGACTATTACCGGCGCTGAAGAATTCAAGTCTTTTTTCTTTTTACCTTTGACCATAGACTAAGGGACCTTACCCCGTTTGATTCATATGCCATGATTAGTATGGCTAATTTCTCCGTTCATGATCTGTTAACGATAATCATATACTTGTGTACGTAGAGTTGTCTGCTTAATTGCAATCGTCTTTTATTGCTATGTCCCAAGGCACCTGCGATCCATGGTTTGTTGTTGATTGGTTTTGTCCAGTTCCTCATACACCCACATCATCTATATCACTTGCTCGTCCTGTGTCCTGTGAGTGTGGCATTGGGCCTCATGCATAAAAAGTGAGCTTAAGCTACGACTCGATTTTCAGTGCAAATGCTTGAGCTTCAGCTAACTGCATCAGTACTAAAACTGAGTCTGAGCTTAAGCTCACTTCTTATGCATGGGGTCCATTAACTTTGCACTCAGTTTTAGTTATTTTTAACTGTTTACTTATGTACATATGTACATACTTGTAATTATTGCGAAATCAATAAAAGTTCTTTTGAATTAAGAGCACGCCTAATGTTCAAATAATAGCGCCTCAGGCTTAGCTTCTGTTCTTTTAAACAGTGTTCTTTGAATTTGCAAACGTATTTAGGTGTGAAATAAATGAGATTCTTGCGTTTTATGGCTAGCGACAAGACAAGAAATTTGATTATCAGTTTGTTATCCACATTTTTAAACTCTCGTATGCCCACAATAAATCAAAACCAATTTAGACAAAACTCGTAAATGTTGGCAATTAAAGTGTTGCCACGCTCTCGTGAGTTGTATTTCTATGTAGATTCTAATCGAATTTGTATGTACTTATGTTTGTACATTCTGCTGCGCATTGACAAATGTATAGCGGGTAAGGTTCTGTTTTCCTTAAGTTGATTTTCATGAGCACACTAGAGAGCGCCCTTGGCGGTGAACATGTCGGAATGCAAAGTAAATACAAAGCCGCGTATTTGTGCACTCTAAAGCAGCACAACTCCTGTACTGTCTTTTGTAATAAGTCTCTTGGTGACCCAGAAAATCGAATATTTTTTTGTTTACATGCAAATTTGTCGTACTCTTATTTTTCGTGGAATACTTGATGAATTTCTACTTGATCGATTTGCGATTTCTTGTGATTCAATACGGTACTATTACAATACACGTTCAATTTTATGGCAAAATTTGGTTGCATTTTTATGTGTTTATAATTCGCGTTGACAAAAGCATACGAAAAAGTTGAGGTTAAAAAATAATTTACTGACAGTTAATGACTAATAAATTTCGGCTATACATACGCTACTGCGCCACTTAACGGTTTGTAAGTTTTTCTGTTGCAACTTAGTAATTAAGTTTATAGAAATTTTTCATTTTCTCAATGTAACCAATTTTTTACTTTCCGCTAATTTTTCTTTTTATTTTCCTGTAGTTACTTGAAACAACTTTCGAGCATATTTAAATTTTGTTTCCGAAATCTAAGTGGCGTTGTTTTTCTGTTTTGCAGCACCTTTTTTTATTACCCCACCCCATTCACTGAAGTAAGCACTACGCCCCTGTATCTCAACGTAGCAATTAGCAAGTAATTCGATTTTCAGGTTCAAGGATTTTGATGCGCAATCGAAACCCAGTTATTACAGCTTTGCACACCGATACAACATATATGTAAATGTTAAAAAGATTTAAGATTATCACACTTCGACGACAAATTGTGTATCTACCTCAATTTAAAGCTTACTTCGGCTCACTACTGTAATGTAAGTGCCGCTACTCCCATTTCTCATGAATGGGGTATGTACGAGTTTGTAAAGGGTGCTTTATTAAGATCAGAAAATTTTAATTTTTTATCACTTTTTCTTTTGTGTCACGGCTGCAATTGAATAATTGTCCTTCTATTCACATAAGAAACAATTATTTATTCATTGAACTATTTATATATATACATTAGACTGTGTTAAAAACAAAAACGAAAGCAGTGTTTTCTTTGGTCCCATTTTAAAATTTCGTTCTCGTTCACAAAAAAAAAAAATAATTGTGGCAAAATTGCATCTCTCTATCTTCATTTTTCTGGTAGCGCTTGCACAGATAAGTATTTTTAATGAAACAAATTACTGTCGAAATTCGACTGTTTTTCTAGTTTCTAAGAGCCTTGGAGAGGTTTTCTATATTAGCAGTCGGAAAATCTGCTACTTTGGAACTAAAAACATGACTATGATTTTTTAAATCTCTGAAGGTCTTTGGAGGACTTTGGCAGTACTTGGAATTGACCCGATACATTTCGGTTTGTCGATAAATTTCGATAATTTGATACGTACCGATAATTCGATAAATTTCGACAACTCAGAAATGTATATCTCCACATAAATCGATAACTCGATAAACTTTGGATACCTCTATAAATTTCTATAACTCGGTTAATTTTGATAGCTCCATATTTTTCAAAAGCTATTGATAAATTTCGATAACTCACTACACTTTGGTAACATGATAAAATTCGATAAGCAGTGATAACGCAATAAACTTATAAAACCTTGAAATTTATTTTTAAAACTATCGATAACTAATTAATCATTTATTCCTTCATCATCACAGTTATCTTTATTATAAAGTTTAATTTCAAATACGAAGTAAAACAAAATGCGAAAACAACTCAAATTGAACAGGTCGCAACAACAACTATACACAAATTTGGAAATTTTTCCTCATCTAACTACGTAATAATATGTACATTTACAATAGTGTTCTTGGTTTTCAAATCGGTTTTATAGAATGCCCAAACGGACGGTGACAAAGTGTATGTTAGCGTATTAACATATAGTTGTAGATTGCTTTGAATCATTGTAATATTATTTCTCTCCTATTTAAACACCGTTTACTCTCGTACGTAAGTACATTTTGTTTATGTCTGCAAATATGCCAACAATCCCACTTGTAGTCGTTCCGTTTAAATGTTGTGGCACGTTCCAAGCCAGCCGAACTTCTTTACTTCTTTTTGTTTTTTTTTTAATTTTTATTAAGCATCAACAGCCAATAAAAATATAGCATCAGCTACTGCTTCACTGCAACTGAATGCAATTCAAGATTATCATCGATTTACAGGTTTTTTTCCATTGATTCATTCATTGCTTTTAATTCTGTAAATTATAAGCCGTTTATGTAAATGCGGTATTTGGCTGTGAGACATTAAGATTTATGGTTTAACATGGTCGATCTGCATAGGAAAAGGAATGAAAGCGCAAAGAGACGATTTGCAGATGATAATCCCAAAGTAGTGAGTATAGTTAAGAGTCTATATAGTGGAATTCTCCGTCCCTTACTCGACAGTTGCGAACTACTTATTAAACCACTTATAATTTGAAATTTGATGTTTCTGTATATAAAGAACAATTTTTTATTGGGGTTTTTATTGTTTAAAAAACCCCTTCTTTCGATACAATGCAATACTGTTTATTGCACACTGACCTGCATTCAGTGATGATTGCAGTGAAAAAAAGAAAACTTAAGTCTCTCATTTTATTTATAAGACAAATTATATAAATAGGGATCATATATCTGTACATTCATATTTATGTCAATCCATAAATGTACAATATCAGGTTGACCGAGCTTTGCTCGAAGTGCATATACTTTTTTATGTTTTCATGGTTTTGATATCAAAGACTGGTCATTTGGATAGTTTTAGTAAATGTTTTGGAAATAAATAAAAAAAGTTTGGGTTTCGATAAATTTTAAGTAAATATCTTACTTTAAAATTTAGGTGGCAACCCTATTTTGAAATCCGCTGGAATGAATAGAACATATTCTGCTCGTATATGTACTGTGAAAATAAAAATTCTTATTACAAAGAAGCGTGGCAACCCTGATCGAAAATAATTTCGACCCGAAGTTCTCAACAGTACCTTTCATTTGATATCCATTTTGTTTTAGATAGATTGTGTAGAATCGAAATTAAGTGGCAACCTTATACTAACGTCCTAAGGGATAACACTTTGTATATAGGGAAAGCATTGTTTAAGCACCTCTTGGTACCCATGAATAGTAATATTTTCACATTTTTTTTTTTTTAATAAACAAAAATTAAATAATTATGCGATTTAAAATAGGTGGCAACCCTATTAAAAATATTTTGATGTTTTAATTAATTTGTATTTAATTTCGAATAGGTGGTAACCTTATACTATACTTGTATATTATTTTCGCTAACTCTATTATTACCCACTGCATACGTACTGAATGTTTTTTTTTAAAGGAGTAATGAAGGAGTGGAAACTTCTAATGAAATTTTTATAACCTTTGGAATTCCAAGTGTAGTTTTTGTTGTAGTATTAGCCATAATTTTATACAGAGTTATTTCCAAAAGGCTTCCCTGACGAGCCCTTTAGTCGGAGGAGACAGAGAGGCATGTCATTGAATTCTTTGGCCTTTGCTCTCTCAAATTAGATAGGAGGGAGGTATCAAGCCCCATTATTTTTTTGTACCAGCCTCCAATACAAATTTCTTCAAAATTTTATAGATTTTCTGAGCTAGATCGTAGATCAATATGCATCTATTGAGGAAAAATTGCATGTCGATTCTCGAATTTATTGAATCGATTCACGGGTCGAATCGGACTAAAAAATCGACAAAAAATCGAATTGAATCGTTCTTCGATTTAATCGATTTAATAACGCCATCTCTAATTATAACATGAATTGGTTACAAAAGCAAGATGTATCGATAAGCTCAATTCCTTCTTCTTCTTCTTCGTGCGAAAAAAATCGTAGGCTTTCTTAGAACAACCAACACACATGTCTATTGAGCTGTTAAACATTGTCGTGCCGGCACGTCTTTACAAATTTAGTATTGTCGTTGTTTCTTTTTGAATTTGTTACCATATTCAAATGTAAACATTGGCAAATAGCTTGTCGGAGTGCGCACGCGCATGCATAAATGTAATTGATTTTCAATTCTTTCGATGTTTGTACATGTAGGCTTTTTATTATTCATTCTATAAAGAAAGTCGAATCAATTTGATTTTTTTTTTTTTTAATTTTTACCACTGAAGGTCACTTGAAACTTGTATACTTCTTTTCAATGTAGAATCCAGTGGATAACGAAAAATCAAGCATTACAATAGGGCCGTGACCAGACTACTTTAAATCTCTCATGACCGTCTATGTGAGTAATCCGGCAGCGTTGTAGTAGGGAGAAGTCAATGAACTGTTAGCCGCGGATTCACAAAAAAGTTTTATTTTATTGATCCTTTTTTTGGTAATTGCACTAAGAAAAATTTAAAGATCACATGTTTCATTACTCATGTGCACTGTTGTTCGCTTTTTCAAATAATTTCTTTTTCATCTTTTTTTCATAATTCCCTACCACGTCATACCAACCAACTCACCCTCAATTATGTCTGTATCCTCCCCATCGTCTACGGCCATTGAAAGCAGCTGTGCCGCGCTCGCATTCGCTTTGATTTGCAGATCCTTTATATCGGCAGGTAACAATTTCACTTGCGCGACTGTTGTATTTAATTCAACACATAAAATTGCATGCCAAAGCGAGCAGAATAGAAGTAAAGTTCTTAAATTTCTGCACATTTTTCGGCAATCACAAAAACTTGCATAGATTGCAGAATTCCAAAGTATAGACGTTAAAATAAAACCGACGTCTAAATGAAAAAAACGCGACTTCAATAAACTAACAATTTTCAAAAAAAAAAAACAGAAACTCAAAAGTTTTCAACTGAATTTTCCGGTAAATATTTCCACAAATATTAAAATCCATTTATTTTACGTAACAATTTTTCGATATCGATATTTTTTCAAGAAAACAATTTTGAAATTCAAAACCACTTTGCAATTTTGTTTGCTACTATGAAGTCCTTCACTCTTTAGTTAACGATTTTCGCTTGCAAATTATTTCCGTTCCTTTCATTTATTAAACTTTTAATGACGCTTGAAGCAACCGCTTACGTTGAACGCACTTTTTGGTCTGAACCAAAAAATTCTGCGCGGCACTTTTGTCAACAGTTATGTGTGAGGCGCACGCAACTTGGACACGATCGTTGGCAACAATAACAACGCCAGCTAGAAGCGTAAACCACTCCAAAATGCCGGTACCATAAGTAAAGGCATGACATATTGGCTTACTGTGGTTACCGAGAATGTATTTAACAAATTGCCCTAGGAACACTATGCTAAAAGTATATTGACATATGAGTTCGACAACAATAGGATTAAGCTCTGCAACAACAATGCCACGACGAAGCATACATAGTGACTAAAAGCGAATAGCGTGGGAGTTGAGAGTTGGTTTTTTTAATTAATTCCATTGATTTTCTATATGTTGGCTTTCTTTTTGTATACAACTTTTATGGGTATTTTTTTAAGTTTGACTAATAATTTTATCTCACCAGCGATATTGATCGAATACTCTTCTATTCACTCGCGTAATTCAACAGAATTTTTCAGGCTGTTGTGAAAAAAATGTTTGCTTTGTTACATACTCGCATTATATTTTTATTTTTCATTGTTTGTTTTTTTTTTTTTTTTTTTTTGTATAGCTTTCTCATATCACTATTAAACTCCACATCAATCACTTTGCAACTCCGCGATATTTACATTCTCACTTTTAAAACTGTGACTGACTCACTTAGCTCGCCTTCAATTTGTCCCCAATTACTCGTCCATCCGCATTCGCGTCAATAAGTCGACTGACTGACTTCTTCAATTTGTCGCTCCATTGAAACTGCATTAAACTCAACTAGCCAAATGGCTGTCCGTTAAACAAATAGCCATCGAAGTAGGCAACAACAACAACAAAAAAGAAGCACAGCAAACTCAAATGGTCACTCAGTGGGCATAGTCAGCGCGCCCGTCCAGCCATAGCGCAATGTTCTACGCGCAACTAGACAGAGTCAGCCAATACCTGCTCGTATTAGTCAATCTATTTCGCATGCTTAACACACAACACACCTTTTTGATTCCCTACTTTGTCCTCCTTAATTTTTTTCTTTTGCAGCATTTTACTAAGTTTATTTTGCTGCTTTCCTACGTTCATTCACTTCTTTTTCATCACTTTTTTCACGTAATTTTTTATGTTAATTTATGTCTTCGATTTGCATTTAATGACTCTATTCTTCGCCTCTGTTTACATTTTTCCATTAGCGCTTCGCACTTCACTTTTACTTAGTATGGCGCTTTGTTTTACTTAAGATTCGTATTTGGGGAAACACTTATGTTGAACTTTTTTTGAATTCTTTTTTTGTTTTTTTTTTTTGTATACTACTTTAATTGCTAAAGAATGCCTTTGCTGTGTTTAGTTATGTGGCCTTTTTAGGGTTTTAGAAGTTTACCTGCATATAAAACAAAAGACTTAAGAAGCGAACTTGAACGTATACATTTTATAGTTACATAGTTATTAGGCTTGTTTACTTGATCAACGTCATAAATCAAGAAACATTTTTTTAAAGCATTGTGCTTTCCAGCAGCTTTACTCTTTTCCAATTTGTTTAGCATTTATAACTTAACCCGTAATCAGTGACGTGGGATACACCAGACTCCTCTGAAGTTTTCAACCGCTATATTTTTAGAATTAAAAGAAATTACACTAGAAAGGTTCGCAGACCATTCGGCACTTAGTTTATTTTTAAAGTTAAATTCAACTTCTTTAGTGAGAAGTAAAAACTGTTCTTAAAAATAGCATTAAACTAAAGCGAAAATGAGAGCCCCTTCGAGGATCCTAAGGAGGAAGCAAACACCGTTGCCGCAGCTCTAACTTCATAAAATCTAATAGAATCTTCTGGCATGCCATTTTGTCGTCCCAATCAGTGTTGTCTATTTGCCGGCTAGATTTAGCTTTTCTTTATTTGGGTTTAGCCGGAAAAATCTTCTTTAGCTTCTAGCTTTTTTCTTAGCCTTTTCTTAAAATTATTTAGCTTTTTTTAGCTTTTTGCTTTTACTCAAAATATTAACTACAAATTTGAACAGCGTTAAAATGTCTAATACGATTTTTATTGACAGATATGTAATGGCAAAACAATGACAAATGTCATAATATTTTACTTCGGCGGAGAAAGGCTTCGTATTTTATCCACTTTAGAAATGGGAAGCAGTAGCTGCAAAACGACACCGGTGAATTTCTACACGGATATGTCGGAGCTTGACGGAAGTGACGGTCGATGGTTCTTTAAAGCAGGACTCTATTCATTAACCTTTAATCTAGGCTTCCAAATCACTGTATTGCATCACAGGCAGAGCTGGCATTAAGAATGTAGTCGAATGTCTGTTAAACTGCTCGACTTCCGGCAAGGGAATTTCGCCCGGTCTGACACATTTGGGTACCAGGCCATATTGATATTGCAGAGAATCACGTTGCGCAGAAGTTGCCCAGGAAAAGTACTCTAGAATTGTATTCACCGGGTAAAGTAAACTTATTAAGGGGATACTAAAGTATTGGTTTCTACGCGATGGGCCTAAATATCACCCCGAATCTCACTGCTTGCAGAACAATGAGGTGGAACTAAAACTTTGTCTTAAGCTGCTTAGATTTTCTGAATCTACGAAAAATATTTACTTCAGTACAAATTAGTTGTTCGTTACAAGAATGCATAATGGGTCCTATTTCGGAACTTATCGATATAATAATCGTATTTTTATCGGTTTTGTTATCGAAATTTTCATAGATTGTTATCGATTTTGCTAACGATATTTTCGGAACTTATCGTTATAATAATCGATATTTTTATCGATTTTGTAATCGTTATTTTTAATGATTTTGTTATCGATATTGTCATTGATATTTTATCGAATTTGTTATCGATATTTTTATTTATCGGTTTATTAATGGATCATTTATCGATTTTGTTAGCGATATTTTTATCAACTTTGTTATCGAAATTTTTATCTATTTTGTTATCAATATTTTTCTTGATTTTGTTATCGACGTTCCTATTGCCATTTTTATCGAATTTGTTATCGGTTTTGCTATCGGACGGATTTTGACGGATGTTACTATCGATTTTGTTATCGATAGAGTATAAAGATAATAATATAGTTTAAAAAACTAAAACCTCCCCATTATAACTACCATTCGTACTGTCATCAGGTATGTAACATGAGAATATAAATCGCTGCATCTTTTAGGCGCATCAATATTACATAGTTACATCCCGAGCTAATAAAAGGAAGATAAAAATGAAGATAAAGGAAAACAGAATAACATAAGTGTAATTAGAACGAACAGGGGTAGAAGACGAACGGGAGACCAAGGAAATGTGCAACTCCGACTGGAATAGTCCATAGGCGTTAGTTAAGTGAGCACTCAAAGAGTTGCGTGAGTCGTGAGGTGACTCTCCGCATGCCGGGCACTGGTTGGGAACATCTGCATTTATCCTGCTCAGATATGAGTTTAGCCTGCTACAGTAGCGAACATGGGCTATGGTGGTGTGAGTCTCCCGAGACAGACGAAGCTCTGTCACATCTACGTCAGGTGGCTGTGTTCCAAAAACGGCATTGACAGGCCAGGAGTCGGTGTAAGTTGAGAGCGACGCCCTGTGAATGTCGTTTATGGCCTGACGGTATGCTGTCGGGATCAGAGGTTGTTTTATAAACCTCTAGACTTCGTCTGCAAGTTCGTACAGATGCCTTCTCCCTTGTCCGTCTGTCATTTGTCTGTTCAGTGAAAGTTTACCCAATTCGACGTTTACATAAAATTGTGGTATGCCTAAATTACGCCCAGTGGCAACTGATATCCTTACGACCTGACCGTATGTGAAGTTTTCAGAGGTTCATTCGTGTTAACTTTCGCATTTGAGTCGTCTAGAGTCTTCTTCTCTATTGCTATATGTAGAAAGCGGCGTAAACCAGCTGATCACGAGACGGACCTCGTTCTCTAGGAGTACATCTATGACTTGGAGGTTCTTAACCGAAGGTGAAGTGATAGATTGACGCCCGTATTTCGCAGCCCAAAAGCCATCTCAAGAGGTAAGTGAGCTACTTGAAAGTGCACTCCGGTGTGATGAAAACCAAGTGTAATTTCAATTATTTGTAGGGATATGTTTTTTTTTTTTTAATTTCGAGGAGCGATCGAGCACTGTGTGCGCACTTTTTCTTGTAGAGCCACCTTTTCTTGGCCACCTGAAAGTCTTCTTAGAGTTTTAAGAAACAAGGTGGTAAAGCCATTTGTCCGAAAGCTTTAGGCTTGACTTACAAACCCTTGCACCCCTTCGGAATGTGATGATATACTCAGTTATTAGTGAAGAGTGATATTTGATGAAAACGTATTTATTGGAACCGTTTGTTGTGACAGTCTCTAAAAATATGTAGGCATATGCATTTAAAAACTTATTTGTTTGCTCACAAAATCAATAAAATGCAAATGTTTTGTATCAATTTGTGACCACTTCCACTGCCTTTAATCAAATCGTAATGTTCCATCACCTAAATATGCCGTATTCAGCAAAGTTCAGCAGCTTTCATAAACCACAACACTTTGTTGAAGCCTTTTTGGTGTCGGATCAGAAAGAAATCGGAACTTAATATCGACTTATTTCTCTTCGCATTTTTCCTCCCTTTTTTGCTTGAAGGTATCATTCGTCATTAGTTTCAATTCCAGTCAATTTGAAATGCACATCTCATTAAGCGAAGTGTCATTCTGAAATTATTAGCAAAAAGTGCGCACAAAGCACACAAAGTCCTTGAATAATCGCCGAATCTTGAAAGCAAGTATTCTTCAAGTTTCTTTATTTTTATATTTTATGCTCTCTGAATTTGTTGCGCAGACTCATTCTGCAATAACAAAAGGAACGTGGCAAATGAACTGCCTTACCTCTCGTTGTCCAATACAAATTCATGCCCAATCATTGTACGTTCGCAAATGAGCCATAAGTGCAATCAATCAAATTTCAAGTGTGACTCAGGAGGACTATCTTTTTGTGCACAATTTTTTTTTTTTGCAACTTTCTTATTTATTTCAATTTCATTTCTATGTGGTTCACTGGAATTTTCCTGTTTTTTGTCCCAATTTCAGCTAATTTTTAATAAATCACAGCTTAAGTCAACACATTTGTAAGTGCCTACAAAACAATACAAAAAAGTATTTCAATAACCTACTATTCGTTTTTTTTTTTGTTTTTTTTTGTGGTTGTGGTTGTGGCCACTCCTTTGTCCCCATTTCTTCTTATTCACCGTTTTTTGCATATTCTTGTAGCTCCCGGCCATGTAGAATGAGTAAAAGATTTGTTTGTGCGAACTAAATTCAATTGAAACAAAGTGGTCGAGTGGGATTAGCTGTTTTGAATTGACACTTTGTAGATAGCGCTTAAGTAAAATATTTTACATTGTAGTCGGTACTTTTTGAGTTACTTTCTTTTCCTACAAATTTGACAGCCTAGACATACATTACAAATACAAATAATTGAAAAAAGTTAAGCAGCTGAATATTTCTATGAATCTGATTTTCATTTACCCCTGGTGGTAGCAGAGGAAGAAGGAAGGACTTGGCTTCACTTGGCATT